GGGGGGGACTAGAAACTGGGACCATTTCCTGTTGCCAAGGTGAACAATGGTTGCTGGGGCGGTGCTGTCAGGAAGGGAAGGCCGAACTGAAAGTGTTCTGTTGTGCTGATTCAGTCTTGCAGTCTCCCTCTAGCGCCTTCTGGTGGCAGAGCCTAACAATAGCTGGAAAAGCAGAGTGCCAGCCCGCCTGTCAGAAAGCTGAGCATACAAAGATGGGTTTGCAGCTGAGAGGCAATTGCTTACTCGCCACTCACCAATATAGTTGGTTTCTCATTTTTGAACTGTTATAAGAATTTTTTTAACCTAAACACATAACCATAATTATTTCCTTATAATAAATTCATTAGAGTGAAATTTCTGGATCCCAGTATATGCCAAATTCTCTCTCTCAATCTCTCTCAATATCTTTATATTGATCATCTATCTATGACTGGGGGAAGTGTCTGATACTTCTCAGTTGTCTCCTAGTGCAAATAAATCTCACTGTTATTAATTAAAATATAACATACTAGCAAGTTATAAATACTAGTGATGTTAAGCTGAACTGAAGAAAAATTAAGTAGAGAAATACCCTTCCTTGAGTTCCTGTTTTATAAATCTGAGATGTACAAACTTCTACCTTAGTTAAGCAAAGTTCAATTAAATAGAGTTATATTCTGATTGAATTTTCTTTCTTTTTTTACATTTTTGTCTTGAAAAGTATTGTTTCTTTGTTTGGTTTTAGGAAGAAAGATATAAGTCACGAAGGCCTTTGTCTACATCATATGGACCAAAAGACCCCTTAAATAATACACATGTGAAGCCAAGAGAAAGCAATCTCAACAGACTGCCCCAATGCATGCAGTCCCGGGCACCCTCTCCATATTCTACCAGGTGTTTCTTCGAGGACCAGCCAGTTCAGTTGAACCTTGGAAATAATTTCAGAATCTCCAGAGAAAGCAAACCTCCATTTGTAGTTAGACATGTGAGCCTAATTATTTTTCAGAGGTCTTTGGAATGGTGAGGGTGCGAATGAGGTCGGAATATAGGAAGTTTGGGTTATAAAAACAATTGGGTAATATTAAATAAAGAGGGAATTCAAACTGAATAATAAGTATGATTAAATTATGCTATCTTGCCTGGCTGGGCATGGCTCAGTGTTTGAGCATCGACCTAGAATCCAGGAGATTCCCGGTCAGGGCACACACCCGGGTTGCAGGCTCGATCCCCAGTCAGGGGAGTGCAGGAGGCAGCCGATCAATGATGACTCTCTCATCATTGATATTTCTATCTCTCCCTCTCCCTTCCTCTCTCTGAAATCAATAAAGATATATTTAAAAAAATAATAATAAAATAAAATTATGCTGTCTTCCTAAAGTCATGTTCAGGAAGCTCCTATAAAGATGTCTTATACAGAGGACTTGCTCAGTAAATGTCAGCCATCCTCATTTTAATTTTTGAAAATTATTAAAGAGTGCGATGTCTACACTTGGCAACCCACCATTATCCAGAAGAATCAGTGAATTGATGGGTAGAAGATGCATAACAAAGGCTGGCATCTACTCTGTACCAACCTAAAACTAAAGCTTCATCAGTTTGAAAGAAAACTGCTTGAATTTTTTTTAATGAGGTTTTTGCTCATTAGCTATACTTTAAAGAGCAAAGGAAAAAAATGTATCAGCAGGAAGAAGCAATGATGTGCTATATTCAAAGCCCTTGATTAAATTTATCTTAGATTTTACTCTCAGGGAGTAGTGTGCAAATTTAATCACACTAGTTCTTTTAGTCTCCTTAAATTTTTTAACTAAAAAGTAATGGGAAATGTAGAAATGTTACCCATACGTTCACCAGCACAGTAAACATAAAAAATTACCCATACGTTCACCAGCACAGTAAACATAAATAAAAATTTTATTTAACGCATTTTCTTTCACCTTTTTAATATTAATAAGCTTTATTTTTTCTACAAAGTTGTAGATGTAATGTACTATATACAGATTAGTTTCTCAATATATACAGTTAATATTACATTAAAAGCATTTTTGATAGTATTTCATATTCTTTATTAACACCATTCCATGTTCCAGTTCATGACTTTTATAACTCCAGTAGTTAACTATTGATAATAATGTCAAATTGATAATTTGACTTAAAGTCACTAGTGGTGATGCTTGTGTGTTTGACATCAGATATGAAGCATGGTCAACCCCAAAGTGAAGGTGTTGTTGAGGTGACCATGTTTACAGAGTTGGTTTTTAGGTAGTATGGAGATGTTCTCTGGATAGAAACTACAGAACAGCTGTTTTCTTCATGGTGACTTGAGTAAAATGCCTGACAAAAATCTAGCAACCACTGTTTAAACATGACATCATACAAATATTGTTGAATTGAGCTTATTGGACAGTCTGATTTATTCCACTTGAAGTAAATTTATGTAAAGTACATCTTTAGTCTATGCCATTATGGGACAAATAATCTTAAAATCTTGGTAGATTTCTTAGGCAATAAAACTTGCATGATATTTATTTTATTTAACAAATAAAATAAATTCTTATTCAGCCTGTACTATGTGCGAAGCTCTTTTCTAAGTGCTTCACACGTTCTCTTTCATTTAGCCAAATTCTCTGATATCTGGTGTTTCTTTAAGTAGAAGCATTAAAATTTAGAGGACCTAATGTTGTGAAGGCTGTGAATTCTAATCAATGTATTTCTTCAAGTAGAATGAAGAGTAACATTATAGCCTGCCTTCTTGAAATTAAAAACCAAACAAAGTAAAACAAATCCAGCAACTCTATGTCATAGATATTCTGGAAAAGTCCCAATTTCAAGTATTTTAACCTGTTTGCAGATCATGTTGTCCAATTTATGAAAATGTGGTCACTTAAATAAAATAATATAGTCACCACTATTCTCTTTTCAAGGGTATGACTGGCAGGGGAAGTGGAAAGCTGAACTGTCCCTTGTCTTCAGGGAGGACCCCACCTAGGCCAGCACTGCTCAGGATCATGAAACTCTGGCCTGTTTTAAAAGAATGCATATTCATCTCATTCTTTTCTGGGCTTGATCCTTTCCAGTGGTTAGAATATAACTTGTGTCCAACTTTAGTTCTTTATGCTAACACGTAGCCCATCTCTTGGCCTTCGAGCCTCAGTGAAGACAGGGACGAGCAGCTTCCCCTATTGGGGTGACATGGAACGTGCATGGAGACTGTGACTTAGTTTGTTCCCACCCTTCTTTTCTCATTTGCGTGACCTGTGACTGAGGGGGAGAAAGGCATTGCAGGTAACGTGGGGCGAGTCACACAGGCTTCTTTCTTCCTTTCTCTTGCAGGTGGACAGTGCAAAGCCCTTCGGTGAGAATACCTCCGAGCCTCACTCCCGGAAGAGTAGACGAAAAACGAAGTTTTCAGACTTCCCCTTTCCAATGAGAAGAGGTACTCAGGTTTCTTGTTACTCCTGTACATTTCCCTATGGGAACAAATGCATCCTACTTCTAAATTTTCTTCCATTATGTGGAATCACAAATTTCTTTGGAAACTTGCGGTTTAACTCTCAAGTTCTCTCCGGCTTTGGTGTTTCCAGGGAAGGAGCTCCCACGAACAGAGTCCGCTGAGAAGCTGCGTGAGAGCTGCCCTGGCTCCGGAAGGAGACCCCCTGAGCAGTGAGGTCGCCCAGTGCGCCCGGGCTGCGGTTCTTTCCTGGCTGGGCTGGAAAAGCAGGGAGCAGCTTGTTCGGTGCAAACTTGACAAAGCACCATTGATAGCCAACAAATAGATTTGCCATTTCTGTGGATGGGAAAGAGCAGGGGATTGGTGATCAGGAGACATAACATTTCCTTTACAAGATGCCATGTTAGCGAGGAGGGGAGCCAGCTATTGGAAGCAGTTGGGTTAAGGTAGGGGATCTCAGACTTTCAGGTGTCAGGACCCTTTTGCACTTGCAAACATTGAGGACCCCAAAGGGCTTTTGTTTATGTGGGTGATATCTATTAATATTAACATATTAGAAATTAAAACTGAGAAATTTGTGAAATACAAGAATACACAAACACATTCCACTAGCTATCAGAGTGGCGACGTCATGGCATGTTGTGTAGCTTTTTGAAAACTCCATTGTACAGTGATGAGAGGATGAGAGTGAAAGAGGCAACTTATGTCTTAGTATTATTAGGAGGAGAAGTATTTTTTTTAATCACATTTAAAAAGAATATGTTTTTATTGATTTCAGAGAGATAAGAGGGAGAGAAAGAAACATCAATGGTGAGAAAGAATTATTGATCGGCCCACCTCCTGCATCCCCCCTACCGGGGATGGAGCCCACAACCCGGCCATGTGCCCTGACCATGACCTCCAACACCAGCCATGCAGGGGAATAGTTTTGGCCTTGCAGATCTCCTAAAGGTCTAGGGGACACAGGGGAGGTCTCTGGACCACACATTGAGTCACTGGGTTAAGGCATCCCTTGGAGACCTTTATCTTATGACTGAAATACATGAACCATGTTAATACTGAAGGTCATGGCAGTGAAGTTCACCTGTTCCTGAACTTAATAAAAATTCTCAATCTGGAAAGGGATGGTATTGACCTGTTCTCTTGACTCCTGGTGGGAATAGACCTGTACCATCCCTGACAACAGGGTTCCCCGTCTCTGGCTGAAAGGTTTATACTTTTAAAGGGCAGCACAGTCTCTTAGGGTAACTCAAGCCAGTGTTCTTGGATCATGGTGACTGTTCGACTGCAGCCAACCAAGGACAAGGTACAATTTGATGCAGAAAGTGCTTTATCACGTCTGACATTTAATTTAAGTCCTTTGGATTGAAAGTCACCAGGGTAGCCTATAAAAACAGCATTGTCTTCTCTATGACCATGAAATTAAGCAATAACAAACGTCCTTTCCTGGAGAGGACACGCTGGGCTTAACTCTGGCCCAGTTATGATAGGACTCATACATCACGTTGGTCTCTGCCTTTATCTTTTCTTAATCCTGGCAGGTGGAGAAGTAAGGTTCCAGAGAGATTGCAGAATGTGTACAGGTCACACACCAAGGTTTTGGCAAACGGATATTTAGAGAAGATGTTCAGACCTCTGGGCTCAGATCCTATAGCTTCCAAGCAAAATCTTTGCTTAGGTCACCTGTCCACTCATTCATCCAGGCCTAAGGTAGAATAAAGCAGTGCTTCTCAAATTTGAATGTGCATTTGAATCACCTCTGAATCTTGTTAAACTGCAGATTCTGATTCAGTGAGGCTGGGGGAGGCGGGGCTGTGATCTTTCTTTTCTAACAAACTCCCAGGTGATATCCATGCTGCTGGTTCACGGGCTGCACTTTGAGAAGCAAAGGAACAAAGGCAAGCCCCCTGGGCAAGGGAGTGCTCAAAATCACACGCAGGGGACTATAGGACAGGTTTGTGGCTATAGTTGAAAAGGGCCTTAGCGTTGCTGATTTCCTGCTCAACTGGTAGAAGAGAGCTTCTGGGACAAGAAGGACACACACATACGTGCACACCCAGAGGATATGACAATTACCAGGCTTTAAAATCCCTTTTTATAGTGTTCTTCTTACTGTCTGTGGCACAAGGGGAATCAGCAGTCCAGGAAAAGCCCCTTGTCACTGCTTAAGCTCCCGTCACAACGGGGGAAGCCATGGTGGCCTTAGCATAGTCTTGCAAAATACTCATTTCAAAGCATTTTTCTCAACCTGGAAAAATCCAATTTAGTCTTGGTTTTCTCTACGTGTATTAATTTATTCACTTCGTAGTCATTCTTATCACTCTCTGGCATTAGGTCTACTTATATTATGAGTACTTAGGGTAATCATAATGATTTACACTTTTGCTGTGTCACATTTCTCCAAGCTCTTATGTATTCATTGTCTCAATTTAACATTTGTATCTACATTGCACAAGTATACTCAAGAGTTTCTGCATAAATAAGATTCCACAGAAACCAAATATAAAGGGAATGGCAGAAGAGGCAGAGTACATGAATTCTGTATTTGAACCACATGGCTTTCTTTTTTAATTCTCACCCGAGGGTATTGCTTTTCAGAGGGGGGGAGGGGGGAGGGGAAGAAACATCTATGTGAGAGAGACACATTGGTTGGTTGCCCCCCACACGGCCCCAGCCAGGGCTAGGGATCAAGCTTGCAACCGAGGTACTTGCCCTTGGCAGGAATTAAACCTGGCCCCCTTGAGTCTGCGGGCTGATGCCCTCACAACTGAGCCAAACCAGTTAGGGCCACATGGCTTTCTTTTAGGCTCTGAGCACCTGGGCACATATGAGTCTTCCAGGCTGCTTAAGGGTTACTGAACTTATTGCTTCACTTTAGACTCTCTTTTACCCTTCCCATAGCCATATGTACTGTCATTGATAATAAAACCTCATCATTGACCTCAACAGGACAGAAAAACTCATAGATAGAATTGCTGTGACTCAAGGGAGACTTAAAAGTGAGAGTGTAATTTACAAGGGAACATTTAAGTTCTTTCATAATTCATTCATTGTGTAATATTTTTGTACTGCTGTGGAATAAATGTAGCAGTCGTTTTAGGGGTAACTGGTAATAATGAGTCATTGAATCACCTGTTCCTCTTTCTTCTAGCTTCTTCTCTTGACAGCCTTGCAGCTAACGTAAAGGTAATTTTAGAAGTAGCATTAGTAAAATAATCTCTTTCCAGCTATCTAATGTCAATTACTGCACTTTCTCCAATGTGTGGTGAAAAGTGTATTTCTAGCTAGTGCTGCGTATGGAATTGCTGGAGTTTAACTGGCGTGTAAGAGGCGCTTAGGCTCCACTGTCTGCTTTGCTCTGCTTCAATTTGTTCATTCCCCTCATATAAACTTTTTTCAGTTGTAAGAAGAATCACCAGTGAGGGCATATGTAGGCCCAACACCTACTGCATCAGTAGGATTTTCATTGCTTTTTCTCTAATCGAATCTTTTTATGCATCGTGGTGGTGCATCACTTGTTTTTGAAGTTTGGCTTGTCAAGGCGAAGAGGCAAAATTGTGCGTTACAGCATGAGAACACATATTATGCAAAGAAAACGGAGTATACTGTGCTTCTTATGCCAGAGCATTTAAATATATATATATTTTTATTGATTTCAGAGAGAGAGGAAGAGATAGAAACATCAGTGGTGAGAGAGTCACTGATCGGCTGCCTCCTGCACGCCCCCTACTGGGGATCGAGCCCGCAACCCGGGCATGTGCCCTGACCGGGAATCGAACCCCGATCGCCTGGATCACAGGTCGATGCTCAACCACTGAGCCACACCTGCCGGGCTAAATATTTTGTTTAAAAATGATATCTTTTTCAAACCCAATAATCACTCACAAATCAAAGTTTAGAGCATGCATTTATTTTGGCTTGTGAATTCATACCAGACAGAGAATTTTAGTTACCCTTCCTTGAGCTCTTCTGAGCATTCGTCTCCAGTTTGCTCTACTCCCACTACTCTATGATTGCAGGAGATCCCTGGGGCAGGTATTCTGTCTTGCCCCCAGTTCTCTTCCTTGCCCCACCCCACCCCAGCTTTGAATTCAGCAAACAAAAGCAAAACTACCACTGAAAAGTAATGCACATTGTCACTCAGGTTATCAAAGAGCCAGATGAACGGATTGTTTTAAGGAATCAGTCACCATCGCCCTTAGATCCAAGTAAGTTTGGAAAACTCTCGCCCAGTTACCGTAACCAAGGGGATGCGGATTTCTACCTGGAAACTTCATATACTACCTCCCGGCACTCCAGATCTCCCAGCCCTCACTCCAGATCTCCCAGCCCTCATCTGGACCAGCGCCTTCCCCGAGAAAGGTCAGCGGCAAGCGCCCATCTCTGCTTGGAGAGTGCCTGGTGTTCTGGCAGGATAACTGGTCATTTCAACATTTTGCTTCCTCAGGGATATTCACCTGGGGACACCTTGATATGATGAATTATTACTCCTTTAAAGATCTTCCCCAAAGTAAAAGTTCCACCTTTTCTCTTTCCCCCAGAAAATGTATCTCAGGATGTTTGTTGAGAATGGGACAGATGGCCAATTTGGCATAGATACTATTTATTTATCCATTTTAGGTGTTATATATTTTATAACCCAAGCATTTGATTTCACCAGTATACAAGTAGTGTTCACTATAGAAATTTTGGAAATTACAGAAAACAAAAAGGAGTGAAAAAAAATCACACATAAGTTCTGTCCCCCAAAGACAAACGTTAACAACATGTGGATGTATTTTCTCTTTTTCTAGACATGGTTTCTTGGTTTGTTTATATTATTGTTACAAATTTTAAGTACTGATTGTGTAGGTCTAGAGGGCAGGCCAGAGATGGAGAACAGGAACATTTATCTTCAAAGCTGAGCTCTCTAGTGATGTGATTAACCATCCAGTTTGCCCAGGACTGTCCTGACTTTAACCCTGACAATCTTGCATTCTGCGGAAACCCCTTAGTCCCAGGCAAACCAGGACAGTTGATCACCTTAACTCCAGGGAAGTGGCACCAAAGATAATATTAGTAAATAGTTATTTTGAATAAAGGCTATGCGGTCTGCTTTACTCTGCAGTGATGAGAATAGATAAATCCCTAAATCACAATAACACAGTTGCTCACGAAGGGACTCAGGACATATCTCAGAACAAGATTTTCATAATCAAATTGCTAATTCTGCCTCAGAATTAGAGTTGGAATCCATTCTCTCCTGAAAATGAATGAATGAATTCACCAAATGAATAGATGAATTCAATCACTCAGAAATATTTATTAAATGCCTACTGTGGTATTCAATACCTATGAGGTCCTAGGATGAACTATTAACCCAAGAGTTTCAGTCCCAATTTCAGTCTAGGAGTAGGAACAGACATTAATCAAATAATGACAAAATCTCCACTAGGGGAAATGTATGAATAGGGGTAAATGAACTCCAAACTCAGAAGGGGATCAGGAAAGACTTTCCAAGAAATCAGTTCTTGAACTGAGCTCTGGAGGGTGGGTAGGAGTCAACACAAGAACACTAGCGAGCGGGGTGTGGGGGGAGCACTCTAGGCAGAGGGAGCAGTGTTGGGAAATGCCTCGGGCAGGAGAAAGTGCTTCTTGTTCGAGGAACTGAGATACTGTGAGACCTGTGGTTAAGATTGGGTCTGGTTGGCTTAAAGTAAATGAGATAAAAAATAAAATCCTTACAGTGGAAAACTGGGATTAAATTTGGCGTTAAAATTTTTGGATTAAATTCTTAAATGTAAAAGCAGGATTTGTTCTTTAGGGAAATATCTAAAATACATAGTAAAGTACAAAGAAGCAAGTCACTCACAGCCATACACCCAAACACAAACCACGCTTAACACCTTGGTGGCTTTATCCCTAGTGATTGAATAAAGACATTGAAACCGCCCTGTGTATACTATTTTGCATGTTGCTGCTTTTTTCTTGCTATTAAGTTATACATATCAACCCATATTGTTATGTACTCTAACTATCCTTTTTATTAGCTGCATAATACTTCACCCTGTTTAATCTGTTGAGCAGGTTCCACCCTGGTTCGCAGCCCACAGGGAAAAAGATCCATGAAAGGGTGTGCAGCCTTCTGACATCCCACAGAGCTCGGCAACACCTAAACAAGGTTAGGGCTTCTAGTACAACTAGATCTTTGCTGACAGAATAATATGGGACCTGGGACTTACAGTTTAGCGGAGGAGACAGACATTAATCAAGTAACCGTAGGAATAAATGCAAAATTGTGACACTTGCTAAGGAGGTTACTTGGTGTCCTGGGAGTGTGTGGAAAGGGGTATTTGACTTGGCTGTGAGTCAGGGCAGGCTTCCCTGCGGAAGAGACAGTGGAGCTTCGAACTGAACAGTGAGCACAGTATGCGTCAAGAGGGGGTCCTGCAGCAAGAGGGAGCAGAGTCCTTTCAAAGGACTTAGAGAAGACAGTAACTGGCCCAAAGCACGTTCTCTTTCACCACGCCCAGGAATTCTGGTCCAGGGAAGAAATCCAGAGGAGTATGTGTGGTCTGTGTAAGGCCACAGCATGGAAGAAACATTTTCCTAAAAGCTGTCGAACAACATCAAAAAGAGTCTGATAGTTTTGTTAGAAATAAATGATAGATTTCTTCAAGGGTCCTAAAGTTTGAAAACTGGAAACAGAGAGGCAAAACCCTCTCTCTCTCAAAGAAGAGAGAAAAGTCAAAATTCTTACAGTAAAAAGTGCATTCTTGAGAATTATCAGTCCTGCATTCTTAGTCCTAGGACTGGTCCAGAGTGGTTATGAGTCCGATGACAGCCAGTCAGGGTGATGGATGCCAGGGAATGTGAGAGATGGGCACCGGGAGGTGGTCATGGCCAGGGGTCTAGACGTCAGGTGGATGTGTGCACGAGTCCTTCAGGGAGTATTAGAGGGTTATCTGGAGGTCCAGGTGCATAGCCAGGCCTTGATGCAGGACTGGAAAGTTAAAAAAAATTTAAGTTCCCAGACTAGTTAGAACAAAAATGGTTTTTTTCCTCATGCCTGGACCTTTATAATGTTAACGGTTTTAGCAGCTTGGTTAAAGTGACCCCATTTTATGTATCCCCCATATTCACTCTTTTTCTCAAAGTTAATAAGGTGTTTGGCTGTTTGACTTTTATGGGGATGTAGGGAATGTTTCTGATCTATAGCTAGATATGCCCAGTACTTTGTCTACTGCACGTGGACAGCCATTAGCTAAGAGACCTGTCACCATTTCAAAAGATTTCAAATGAAAGGTTAACAATGCCCCCAGTTTTTGGACTTCACCATAGCATGTAGTCGAATTGGTCCTGTGGACTTATTTAAAAATGCTGGCATAGCCTGCCTGGAGTTATAGGATGGCTCTTACAGTGGATAATGATTACTCTAACCACAGGGGCAGTGGACTACTTTACTTACTCTCTGAAAAGTCACAGTCTTTTCAAGTAAGGAAATCCCTTTAAAATGTAAAAAGAAAGGATAGGAGGGAGGGGGGAGGGGAAGAGAACAAAGGGAAGGAAGGAAGGGGGAGGAAGGGAAGAAGAAAGAACAGACAAAGAGGGAGAGAGAGAAAAGAAGGTACCTCTGTACACGCGCAGACGTGTGTGTACCCCGCAAGAATAGGATGTGCGGGATTCATAGGCCTCTTAAATGCTGAACTACACACCTTGCTATCATCGATCCGTATTACATCATGAATAGTGCTATTGCTGCATTTGTTTCTGTTGTAGGAAGATTTTATCTCTGGAGTAAACCGTACCCTTGGCGGACCAAACTACGCTCTGAAGAAGTACCCAGTGCACGCGAAGAGAGATTTTTAAGCTGATGTCTTAGGCAAGTAAGCAGCTTAAGCGCTTCTCGTCATGACTTGTTAAAATAATTTTAGTTTCCAGCTGTCAATAGGAGGTAACTAGAAGACGTGGTGGACGGGAGATGAGGGAGAGACCTGTGAATCACATGATCACACAGTATGATGCTGACGGGACATACGTGGGCCTGCCAGCTTTCCGGCCGCCTCTTGCCCGCCCCCCTCTCCCTTGTCTCATCAGCTCTTTCAGCTCCTCGAACACGGTTTTTCTGCTGTGAGGACTTTGCACACGCTGCTCTCTCTGTCTGGAATGCTTTTTCCCGATCCTGCTTGGGTCACTTCTATTTATCCTTTGAGTCTAATGACTTTCTATGACCCCCCCCCCCCC